TTCAGTTATTTTTTAAATATAAAAACAGATAGATAGAATATACACTGGGTTTTAAAGTGAAGTAACAACAGAAAAAAATATAGGGACAAAACTTACAACTGGAATGAGCTAAAAGGCTCTGACAACTTTCTGCACCCCATGTGACTCCTACTTCCACCCAGCCTATGAACCACAGTTACAAAATCTGTGCAAATTGGTTAAATAAACTCAGGGAACTTGGGATATTTATCCCAGGAAAGTATAAAAGGTACTCAGAATTCTCTGTTCAAAAGGGACAGGACTCATGAGGTGAGACCTTCTAAGAAGCATTTGGAAATAAAAAGATTTAAGGTTAAAAATTAAATTCGGGTTTCTTCTGGATAATATTTTTCAGAAACCTCCCCCAAACCCCAAACCAGCAGAAGTACTTGACTTCACAAAGCACTTGGGTATTTCTTTCAGGGAAGGGTGGCAGTGTCCTCTGGTGATGGCAGCCCAAGACTGGATCAGAGAACAGATGCTATCCATCCCACATGCCCTTCGCAGTGCTCTGTGACTCCTGGTCCTATTACTTGAGCAAAGTCTTCCACAATTCTACTTTACTCTTTCTACTTAGTAACTTCCTGTTTGTTCTCCTGATAAATACCAGAACTTCAGCTAAAAATGGAGAAGTTGCCTAGATTCTCTTATCTTCTAAACCCCCAGCCTTGGTGTGCTGCGGTTGGGTCCTGGCAGATCCTCCAACAGTCAGAGATGCTGGGCTGGGCTCTGCTGTACCCTTCTGGCAGCACTTACTGCCCCACACACAGACACAGCAGCAAAGAACACTGCTCCACCAGCTTTTGCCATCGGATACATTTATTTACACCTCTGTTTGTCTTTACAGAGCAGACACTCCACAAAGAAGTGTGGTAGGAAGTGCAAAGCTACATTTTCTAATATGGGTCCATTTGGGACTCTTGTTCTAGAGATGCTGAAAAGGAATTTTGATTTTCAACAACGTTTGAAGAAATCAGTCACTCAAGTGGGAAACTTGCCCTTTTTTGAGCAAGTGGTCTTTCCTCATCAATTTGTATAGTACTGAAGATCAAAAATAGCTCTTCAGTGGGGGTACAGCTGCATAGTGTTGATTTAAATAGAGCTGCAGTGACTCACTGCAAGCAAGCATCTGTATACAGCCCTTTACTACTGCAAACCATGTAACAACACTAACAGCAAATAAACACTAGCAGGGCATTCAGAGGAGCTACCACTGCTGTTCCACACATGTGTGACAAACAGTGGGACAGGGATTTGAGGAGATGTTGCAATTAGCTGTGTGTTAAAAATCCCATCTCCTTCTTCTTATCAGCACATGAGTAATGTGTCTTCTCAATAGCACTGGTCTCTTATTTAATTAGACATTCTCTGGGTCTTCTATAATCTTCTATATTGTTTTTCCTTTCATCTTGACTTTTTGCACTGGCTGTGTTAAACCCGTTTTTGCAAGGCCGTGAAGCCATTCCTTCCTTCCACCTCGCCCAATAAATAAACAACAAATAATAACAGTCAGCGATCAGATATATTTCCACATGAAAACTATCAAGGAGCCAGCTATTCAATGCTGACATTACAGAATTGGGATGGATGTACTCAGCACCAATATAAGGAACTGTAAACCCATCAAATTTAAAGCAGATTCCCCCATTACATCTAATTTCCTACAGAGGCTAGTATTCACTCATCCACTAACATGAACAGCAAAAACCTTAAGTGGGTTTTTCCTCCTGTGGGGTTAAATGTCAAGTTATGACTGATACTTTCATATTTTTGGTCTAAAGCAGGATGGACTTTACCTCCATCGCCACCACTTAGTTTTTGTTATAGCTTCTTCCTCTCTGTCTTCTGCCCCATACCCAGCTTCCCTCCAGCTTTGGCTGTTCCCTGGCACCCCTCAGGCCCACGCAGACCTGGTTGGTGAGAAAAGCTGGAACCAAGTGGGGAAATGAAAGCAGCATAGCTTTCGGGTCACACTTAGAGGACAAAGAACTGCAAAGCACACCAAATACTCTCCTGGGAGACTCCTTGCACAACTGCCTCTATAGATAGGCTGACATGGTGGTTTCATGGCTCAAGTATCAGATTGAGAGAAAAGCATTGTCCCTGCCATTAAATCACTATTAAAGTTTTTTCCTGCTGTAGAAAAGCTCCCTGTGCTTTCTAATGAATTCTTTGTGTTTAGCATTAAGCTCTCTGTTTTTACAGAAAGTTACACTTGGGTAATTAATCTCATGTTCGTTTCCTGCACATGCATGAGAGCAGCCTTTGTTAGGGAATGATAAGACACTTCTAAGAATAGTGCTACTAAGAGCATCGGCTTTGTGAGACATTACAGGAAAAATATAGACTCTTAACACCTGCTTTTCACTTTCAAAGTTTTGAAAATAATGTTCTGCTTACCTAGAGGAAAATTCTAACTTATTTATGCATAGAAAGCCTAATTGCTTTCATCAGAGAACGAATATAAATGAAGGCATACTTTGGTCTTTAGGTTCTAATCTTGGAAAGATTAATTTGTTTAATTTTATAAACACTGCAAATATTCCCAGTGGCTTCAGCAGGACTATTGCAATCTCACAACCTGAATTCATTGCTTTGTCTGATTGTTTAACTACATATTCCATTGAAATTAAATAGATTTTCTTAGTGATAGATGTAATGGAAGAAGGATTAAGAATTTATCTGTGTGTAAAACACTGGACCCTCCAGTCAGAGCTTACAAAGGCCGGATGCTGAACTCAGGAAAATGTAAACTGAGATACAACCCCATGAGAGCAAACGAGGCTGGGCAGTGTCTGAGAGGTCCCATGAACAGCAGGCCAAGCAGGGACTTGAAGCTCCCTGAAAGGTCAGCTCAGACCATGGGCTTTTCCAGCTGAACACAAAGGGTGGTGTTGAACTCGGGGATTTATGTATGTTGTCAGTTCAGAACCAGAGCCAACACCATTCTCCTGTAAGCGGTTGACACTTGACACCTACTGAAGTCAGTTTGAAAAGTCATTGTTTTAAAACTCTGTTGTTTTTAAGCAATCACTGTGGTTCAGCCCGAGTTATCTGCTACCCCACTGCAAGATGCACTAGCTGCCATGCTGGTGACATTCTATGAAAAATAGGGGAAAAGTAGTTTACAACAGGTGAGAGACAATTTCCATTTGGTTTGTAGCATCCACTGTGTAACCAGTCATATGAGAAAGAACATTAAGCTTTGCTGTACTTGCACCAGATTTCTTTCTGCTTTTTTATGGGCAAAGGACTACCTTATCCTCCTAACCAGTAAACAAAGCTTAATCTGCAGAGATCTGGCTAATCTAGTGGTTGATGTTTGGAGAATAATGTAGACCAAATTTCCCCTGGTTTTGTAGAGCAGAATTTGGGCAGAGCACACTGCAAGTAGCCTTGTGAGTTGATCAGAGCCCCTGTTGTAACTACTATCTTTCCTGTATAATGGGGGCTTTCAAATCCCAGCTTTATCACATTCTGTTTTCTCTGCTTTGCCCTTTTTTGAATATTGAGTCATCAAAAATAGCTTCACTGACAGAGTTACTAATAATACCAGGTGAATCAGTGGCTCTTACACTGTGCCTGCCATACAATGCTATTAGTACACTCGTTACAAAATATAGCAAAAATGAGATGCCCATAATTTATTTGCAGCTTCCACGAGAAACATCATAGTTCGAATTATTTTCGAATTGGAAAATGCTACTGAACTAGGCAAATATTCAGCCACTGCAATGCAATACTGCAGTCTACAGGAAGAAACTCTGTCTTAGAATAAGTTAAAAATAATTCTAACATCAGTAAATTATCCTTTCTGCTAGTTTTTAGCCAAAGAAAAAATGCACTACCAAATGATATTCACAAGATATTCGTCCACAAGACAGTTATGCCTCATATTACTGAGAAAAGCTAACATCAGCACTCCAGAGAAAATGCTGATAAACAGAAGTGAATACGACAAATGATGTAAGCTGTGCATACGGCCTGGAGTGCCAGAGGCATGTCCAGTGGCATCCTTCGAATACGGTGCAGAGCTCTAGAGGAAGTCAGGTTAGGGCATGACTCAACGGGTATTACCGATTCCATAAGTGTCACAGCAGAACATAACAGCGCACCTAATGAAGAACCATCACAAATGAGTATGTAAAATGGCCCACGAGGGGCTTACATTTTTAATGCTGCCCCAAGCAAATTTTTAAGGGTCATTTATTCCTATCCAGAGTGCTTTCCTCGCACTCCTGTAATGAGACAGTTTCCTATGCTTGCAACACTTTTTGTTTTCCTTTTTTTTTTAGTTTAGACTAACAGCCAAGCAGATAGAGAATGAAACAAGGGGGCTCATAGCGCAGTTGCAGATCTCCATGCAAGGCTCGCTTCTTCTCCCCAGCCCCCTTCACCTTTCAGCTCTCAGGAACCTTACAGCACAGCATCTTCCAGCACCTCTTTATCACAGATCAGAAAGCTTTCTGAAGCTTTCTGCTAACAAATGCATTTTTCATTGGTAAATAAAACTATTGTATATGTTACCTTTAGCAAGTGTCACAGAAATTACAGACCATCTTAACAAAGCCAAGCCTCAGAATTTAAGTTATTAGAATTTTGGCTGTTTGGGGTTTTTTTCCCCCGCCTTTTTTAGGATGTTCTTGTCCTTCCCTGGAAAAGTGACATCTGCAATTCTATTGCAAAAATTCTGTTAGTTACGGCAACGTTAACTGAAACCGAAATGTGGTTTTTAACCTAAAACAGGTTGCATAACAGCTGAAGTACTATAATCTTACGAGTTAGGAAAGGTTAATTCCAGAGGGCACAAGAATGTCGGTGGAAATTAAAATACTTCATAGGCGCATGGACTTGGAAGTCTTTTTGTTTTGGTCAAAGGTTAAGCCGAAACGGGAGAGAGATTTCAAAGGAAGAGCCAGACAGCGACCACATGCCGAAATCCCTTTAGCGAAAAAAAAAATCAGAAAAGCCTCTGCACTTACGTATCTCTTGAGTTTCTTCTCGGGGGGTGATTTGATGAGCCATCCAGTGCAAACCACGTCCCCCGAACTCATCTTCCCCCCCGTGCACGGAGCGGCGGAGCGGGAGCCAGGGTGCGGGCTTCCTGTGCGTGCGTGCTTGTTATGTGGGTATGTGTACGGATGTGTGTCCGTGCGTGCGTGTGTGGGCGCTTGTGTGTGCTGGGATGCGTGTGTGTGTGCTGGGATGTGAGTGCGTGTGCTGGGATGCGTGTGTGTGTGCTAGGACGCGTGTGCCTGGATGCGCGTGTATGCGTGTCGTGTTCGCCCGTGTGTGCGCCGGTGTATGCGGGCGTGTGTCCGCCCGTGCGGGTGCGCGTCTTTGTGTATTGTTCCCAGCCAGTTCGCACCCGCAGCAATCAGCTTCCTTCAGCTGCGTTCTGCTGCGGCTCCAGCCCGCGGAAGAAGTCATGACATTGATCACTGACATGGCCAGCCCTCCCTCCGCCGCCAGCACAATGCAACACACCGAGCACGTGATGGGCGGCCGGGGCTCGCCGCCGTCGGCTGCGACACCCGCGGCAGCGGCAGCGGGCGGCTCCCGCGCCCGGCCGCGCATCGCCCCGGACAGCCCGTCCCTGCACCGCGGGAATGCCAGCTATCCCTGCCCGGAGCCCCGCGGATGCTGGCAGCCTCTGCCCGGCGGAGCGAGGTGGGCGAGCCCCGCGGCTTAGCCGTGAGAGCGCCGGAGGCAGCGGTGACAGCGGAGATCCCCATGAAGTGGCTTGGGGACGAGAAGGGCTCTGGCCGGAACGGGAGGCAAAACCGGAGCTAGTGGGGTCAGTCCCCCTCCAGTCTTCACTACAGCTTCCAACATCAAACAAACTTCGTTATGGGTTTTCCAGTAGCATTTAGCTGCCTGTATGAATTTAATAGGAATTAACTTGTTTTTTCTGCCCACATAATCACAGATTTTTTAGAAACATACTTTTTCAGAAAGTGACTTCAAGGAGACTGCCGCTCCGCTGTCACAACTAAAAAATACGCCCGCAGAGTGCATAATATTGCTGATATCTTGTAGTTTGTGCCTCTTTCCAGGGTGGGAAACTCTTGCCTTTTCAAGGACAGGGCAATCTGCGTTCATTTTTCAGAAGACTTTTAAAACTCTGACTTATTTAAAGTGGACGCAGTGGTTCTTCACTGATTTCTCGAGTCTGTTATTCCTCTGAAATAAACTCACGTGCCCCTGGTCAGGCACAGCACTCCCAGTGCAGCCTGACTCTGCAAGGCGTGATCAGCACCAGCAGGCCCATGGGAGAGTTTAATGTTTTCACAGAATTTTCCAGGTCTCTGCTGGTGCTCTTTGGCAGGGTAGAGATATAGCTTGCAGTATCGCTTCTGAAATCTCACAAACTAGAAATGTGTTTTTCAAGTTTTTAAGCAAAAATGTGATTGCAATATGTATTTATTATATTTAATATAATATGTACTATAAATGACAAAACCGTATAAATATAGGGCCTATGTAAATTCACACAAAAAATATATAAATCTCATACAACCTCATAGATTCCTGTTGCTAATGCTTTACATTTTCACTGGTCTCAAAAGAATCCTATGATAAATGAAAATGGTCATGAATAAACTGTAAACATATTTCAAATATGCTCTGACTTCTAGATATGTTTTTGTTTGAGAATGGCTTTCATGCAGTCTTGCACTATTATTTAATTCCCAACCTTCTATTTTACTACCACCTTCACTCAGCTCCATTTATCCACAGTGATGCTTTAACAACGTCACATGTTTAATAGCAGGTTTGTGAACAAGGCTTCGCAACACTTCTTCTTGGAGAGATATATTCAGCTATGGAACTTATTTAGGGAAGGAAAGTCACACTTTCCTTCCATATGTGACTTGCCTGTGTCACCCGGACAGATACAGTAGCCTTAAAGTAAAGGCTTTAAAAAGTCCAAATGCCAAAATAAAATGAGTTGGGATACACTTCATGTGTTATCCCTGCACTATCCTAACAACATCCACTTTTACTGGATCATGCTTCAGACAGCTTCCCTTGTGCAGCTGTATAACCACGTGCAGAAAGGTAGCAGAGGGAATGGGGAGGGGACAGGACAGGGGAAAAAGGAGCCTGGGCTACCAAATGAATTTAAACATTGAATAGTAGACCACAGCCTTAAGGAGAGCTCTTGCTCTGTCTTTGCTATGGTCAGTGATAACACTGCTTTAATCACCAGCAGTCCTTGTCCCTGCACTTCTGCCATCTCCTCCACTGTGCAGACATGGTGTATTTGTGTGTCTGCGTGAGGAACTGAATCACAAACTTGACTCTTTGGAAAAGAATGAGTCAAAAAAAGAGAGACGTTATTTTCCAGCTGTATCAGGACTAGTTTCCTGATCTGATAAATGCTGTGGCCTGCAAGAGCACGTACCTTGTCAAGGGAGGGGGTGATGCAGGGGCAACAAGAAGAAATCAGCATTTGCTTGAACTGGCATTTTCTGCCCAAAACACGCTTGCTGAGTGGTAGCCATGGTGATAGAGAGGGGTGCAGCGATTCTGTTTCCTGCTCGATGTGTCACTCCTCTGTCAGACAGCTCCTGTCCTCTGGAACCGCTGCAATGGCTCAGCTGCCTGTGAAGCACCTGCCCAGCCACTTGCACTCAGCACATTCAGAATAAATAAAATCTGTGCCAGCTTACTTATGGTGCCAGTAGCCTGAGGAGAAATACAGGAAGCCATAATTAAGTAGAGCATGTGGGGGTTAACGTGTTTGTTATGAAAGCTGCTGTGCCTTCTTGGTATTTGTGTTCCAAACATTAAAAGAGCAAATAAAGTTATTTTCTTACACTGACAACATTCATTGTGCTGATAATGTATCACTAACACGCGTTTGACAATAACAGGATTAAAAATTAATGGTATCTCATCCTGATGGAAGAAGCGGGATTTAATTTTTGTCCTGATCCATGCACAAATTTTTCAGCTACATTTAAATCATAAAATTATTTTCTTAAATCCATCATCATGATGGTGAATGACAACAACTTTGTTTTAAAAATCTTACATTTTTTCAACAAAATTAGTTGAAGACAAATGTAGAGGGTGAACTGATGTTGGAAACTGAATGGAAAGTTCTCAGTCCTCTCTTCTACTGCTAAACAGGTTTTCCCCTTCCTAAGTACATTAACCCAGAGGCACTACCACTGTCACAGATCAGCTTGGCCTTGGCCAGTGTCATGTCCATCTTGGAGCCAGCTGGTCTTGGCTCTGTTAGACATGGAGGAAGCATCTGGCAGCTTCTCACAGATGCCACCCCTGCAGCCCCGCTGCTGTCAAAACCTTGCCACACAAACCAACACTGCCCTCACTAGACTAACCTCATATGTGCCACTAGCTAAGATCAGAGCGACCATGATCAGTTTTACCCTGGATGTGTGTGCAATTCATATCAGCCAGAATTCTCTGCTTGTCATAGACGTACTGGTGTACTCCTTTCATTTCCTGACTTAAGCTACTTGTGTTTCAGAGGAAAACAACACTTCACTACTAATAAATCATGAGAGAACAAAATGGCTACTTGCATTGATGGGAAATTCCTTCATGACTTGACAGACCATTGATAGAAGTTAAATTTGCTATTTAAGAGGGATTTATTTAATTGACAAATTTATAGGTATAAAAGGAGAAAGAGATGCCACAGTCATCTCAACTAACTTTTCCACAAGCAGATAGTTTTCTGAGACTCTAGCCTCACATTTAATTTACAACACCACACAGGCCTTATGAAGGTCGAGGTGAACGCAAGAGACAGCCACAGACCTCTGAGAACAGCCTTTTTCTTTCATCTAGCAACTGATCCCTGTTTACACATGGAACTCGCACCACACTTACTCAGCAGAATGCTAACATGCCTCTGCAGCATTCTCTCAGCAAGCAGAAAAGCCCAGTTCTACAAAAAGACATGACACAGTATACATGTTCCAGCTGTTCCTGACAGTTACCACTCTGCTCTCCCCTGCAGACAAGTATTTCACTCTCTCCATTCACAAGGACAAATTTAGCAAAGTCATGGGATAATTCAGCCCCTGCTCTTCCTTTCAACAGCCTGTCCTCACCATACAAATCAGGTCTAATGGAGGAAAGCACTCAGATCTTCAGAGAGACATAATTTGTTGCTGTTGTTTAAACAACTAACTACCAGAACTGGAGCTTGACCACAGGCCAGGGTGATGCTGACCCATCTGCACTGTGCTGTTTGATTGATGAATATATTCTGCCTGGTTCATACTCTGTCACCTCCAGGACCTTGGTGGCAGTGACACCCCATGGGCAGACACCTGATTTCAGAGTAGGAGCCATTGTGAAAATAAAAAAAGAAAACAGATGAACGTTGCTGTGGTTTTGCTCCAGGAAGCGTTGAACTATGTAAGCTGCATGTGAGTACGGCTTTTATTGTTGTGGACAGGGCAGAATCTAATTTTACCAAAAGCTCTCATGACACATAGGGAGAACTCTGTCAATCCCTTTCAGAAAACAGACCAACGCCCTCTGGCACTAATTTCCTCAGCAAAACAGCAACAGACATCTAGCATCTCATAGGAAAGTCTCCTGTTTAGGAGAGTAACTGGTGGAAGACTGGAGTTGTGCTGAATAGTGCATTTATTTGCAAATGTAAAATTGTTTTTTCTGAAGTGGGAGTGGCAACAAACAGGCTCACTTTGGTTCAACCCCTGCCCTCTTTTGCCAGACAAAAGGTTTCACTGTTCTCTGTCATCCACAAAAGGATGCACTGTGTATTTGCTAATTTTCAGCTTCTGTTTGCAGACTAGTAAACAATTTAATGATGTCTACACGGGTGATGAAGTAAGTCATGGCTGTTCCTTTCTACATGTGAATCAGTAGCAAATATTTTGTGAAGATTGCCTCATGGGTTAATGATATTACTGGCCCCTTAAGGTTAGCAAATAATCCTTGCAGTTGAGGGAGGAGATACAAAGGCTTTTTTAAAGATCCAAAATCTGTATCATAATTGTCCTAGTTACTTTTATGACTTAAGAAAAATCTACTTCATTTTTCATACACAACAGTGATCAGTACTGAGCTCACATGTGAGGTCTACTTTATATGGCAATTTGAGGGAGTTTACCTTCTTTACTTTATTAAAGGA